CCAGAAATGCTGATTACGATAAGGTTCTAGCTGTGATGTTCCACCTTCATGAAGATCCTGGTCATCCTAATCTAGAACTCTAGTTCTCTGTGTTTAACAGGGATCAGAAAATCTTGTTGTGAAATGTTTCACTAAGAATCTTCTTCTGGTGGATGAGAGAAGAGAACGCCACGTTCAGCTGATGTTCTTGGTTTTAGTTCCTCAGAGCTGACAGGTTCTCATTCAGAAGCTGCTCAGGGTTCTTCTCATCAGTTAGATCTGCAGATCTGTCCTGCAGGAGGCGGAACCTGCTCCTGATCAGAGTTCTGGCAGCCATAGTTGGACCGCATCCTGCCGTCTGATGGGCGGAGCTGAGTGAGGAAAATCCTTCCTGCCATGATTTGACCCAAACACTCAGAGTTCCTATTTTCCCCGCTGACAGCAAACACATCGTCTGGCTGCTACTCTACCTGCCTCATAGCAACAGCTGGGGAGCAGCAAAGCACTCTGGGAAATGTTGGTAATCACTATGGATACGAGAAGGTCAAAGCTGCTGCTGCTGCTCAGACCGAGAGCCTAAACGGCCTCATGGTGGCGCTGTGGCAGCTGACAGCACAGGTCCTCACATGAGTAGAAAACCAGCCTGAGCATGTGTGTGTCCTGAGGATTTAACACAGAAATCACGTCCTAGATCAGGCATGGACACACAGATCTAGGTCACAGCTGTTCCTGACAATGCCCCCTCCTCTTCCTCTTCCTCTTCCTTCTTCCTCAGCCTGCCTCCCTCCTGTCTGACCTTGGAGGAGGACACACAGAAAGTAACCATCATGTTTGTTCCGACAGAAGCATCCAGTAAAACCCAAATGTTTAACCTCTGGACTGACCTGCTGAATATTCCATGGATTTAGTCTGAGGGACGCTTCACATCCAGATGTAACAGAACCTCTGCAGCCGGTTGGAACCTTAAAATCAGAACCAGAGAGCTGGGTACAGACAGAATGATGATCAGCTCTGCTCTGGGAAAGTTCTGTGACCCCTGATGAACTGATGGTTCTGAGAAAAGTTGCTGCTCCTCAAACAAATTGCTGAGATGAAAACCTTTCTGTTAAAAACACACATGATCTAACTGTAACCAAGACTCAGAGGAGTTATTCAGGCACAGTTTGGCCGATAAGTCTGGCCTTCGGAGGACAAAGCCGCCGGATTCAAATTCAAACTCTTGCTGTGTTCAAATTTAATTCAAATCCAAAACTCTTCCGGTCTCCTTATTTTCAAGGACTTTGAAGGATCCAGTCCAGGTAGACCAGACTCTATGGTAAAAGGTTCTTCTTCTTGTAGTGTTTTACGGCGGTTGGAAAACTAAGGGCGTTTCTCAATTCACGAGAACGCGAGTACGTACTCGCGTTCTCGTCAAGTCCATTCTTGGCGAGAACGCAGGAAGATCGGACTTGACGAGAACGCGAGCACGCAAGCACGTATGTGTATTGGAGCAGAAGCGTACTCGTGACGTCATCACAGGCAACGTTGTTTAGCATTTCTTTAACAGTCAAAACTATTTATTCCCTACACAAAACCTTTTGAAAACAATATTTTTAATTTCTAAAGCTTAAAAAAAATTAAAAAAAATTACCGAACCGCAAAAAAACGCCATCAGAACGAGCGGTAGTTCACACATAACTAGACCGAGAGAAGTGCACTACAGACGGGGTAAATTTAGCCCTGGCTGCGGTTACCCTCGGAGGTCTGCTGGTCACTCTGGTCCGCTCAACGTCGGACTTTTTTATTTTATTTCGCACTAACTCTGTAAACAGGCCACACAGGGAGGCTTCAATGTATAATGTTATCGCCTCAAACGATTTCAAAATGTACTTTTGAAGAACAACAGCAGCAGAAAAGGGAATGTTTAACTTACCACTGTGAGCGCTGTCTGGAATCAAGCTGCGGCCGCGGGGCATTCTGGGGAAGCGGTCAGTCTGAAGAACGCACAAGTCTGCTCTGATGCATGCTCGATAAAGAGGCCGGGGTGAGAACAACATCCGGGGATTTGATGCGTTCTCAATCTGGCGTTCTTGAGAATTGGAACGGTACTCGGGCTGAGGCTGATGACGTGTCACGAGTACACGAGCACACGAGAACGCTCAAGAACGCATATTGAGAAACGTCCTAATAGTAGTGCATTGCTCCACAACCAAACTTGCTTGCGAACCTTCCGCCATAACAATCCCGCCCCCTTGATAATCGGCCAATCACATAAATTTTATTCACTCGTGTAAAGTCGGGCACCACTCGGGAGAATTCGGAAATGCAACGGTTGGGACAGCCGCTTCCCTACGACTTTAACCATTCCAGCTCTTTTACTTTTACACCACTTATATTTTCTAGCATTTCTTTGTCAGTTGCTTTTAGAGGGACTCCTCCAATCACTCTGTTAACTCCTTTGTTCTCCAACAAGCTGCACTGAACTCTTTTCTACGGTGGCCCTGAAGTGCAAACTGCAACTACAAATCTAAAAGCGCAACTACATTAAGGAAAACACAATTACATTAACCTACCAGAAAAGGTAGGTACCAGTGGGAAACACGAGACATCGCTGATTGGACGACGGCGCCGTTTGACCCTTGAACCGGAGGTCATTCTGCCTGCTGCGGTTTTTGAAAACATGGATATTGTCGGCGCCCCAAACATAGCTGCCATTATCCAGGAATATTTTGAATCAGGACATACGTACGAGGTGATACTGGATATGCTCAAGACTAATCACCAAATTTCAGTTAGTTTGCGTACACTGAAGACACACTTAAAAGAAGCTGGACTGTTCAGACGACGCAACTTCTGGTTCAAGGGTCAAACGGCGCCGTCGTCCAATCAGCGATGTCTCGTGTTTCCCACTGGTACCTACCTTTTCCAGTAGGGTAATGTAATTGTGTTTTCCTTAATGTAGTTGCGCTTTTAGATTTGTAGTTGCAGTTTGCACTTCAGGGCCACCGTACTTTTCCCCTCAATCTTGTTGATGAATATATCTTTGCCTTGTTGAGCTCTGTCTCTGCAGTTGATAATCAAGTCTCCCCCGTACAATATTTTGGCCCTTTGGACTTTCTCTACTAGTGTGTTTATAGTTATTAACTGCATCGGAGTCTCCCTGATTAACTAGTTTGAATACTACTTTGTAATTATTTTGTTTTTCTGAGGAATTTCTAGATTGTTCATCATTCGATTGTTCTGTTCTGGACTCTTTTCAACTGGTCTCTGCTTTTCTCTATTCTAATCTTCTTCATTTTCACTTTGTCCTTCTTCCATCCCACAAGAATCACTTCAAGTACAGTAATTCCTCGCTGCTCCCGACTGTGGTCGGAAAATTTAGATTTCTCTTATTTCATTTATTGCTTCATGCTATTTACTCAGTAAAAAGTCTCTTTTCCCTGAAAGGCCACACTATGCCTGAATGAGGGCTGTTTGTAGAAAAAAATGAACTCATTTTTTCTATTTGATTTATTTTTAAGAAAAACTGACTTATTGAGATTTAAAATTTTTGCAGTAAAGTGCTGACTGAGTGAAATCCATCGATTTATTTAACTGGGGTGAATGGTTGAATACTTTCTTCACACTACACAACCCAGGACATTTTTCACAAGCGACTTAGAAACACGCGTCTTCCTCCTAAAAGGTTGCTGGGAACTCTGGGTTTGACCTTATCCACCTCATGGAGCCTTTGGGAAGGTGGGGCTCCTCACCTGTTTATAGACTAGGCATCCGCTAGGGGGTGCTGTCTCTACCTGTGCAGGAGTCCAATATTTGGACTTGTCTGCAGGTAGGTACTAACCTGACTCGGCCAGATTGATTTGCTCCATCTGGAAACCTTCCGTTGAAGTAATTTTGGAAAGGGGCCAAAATACTGGTTAGCTGATTGGCCTATGTTGGTGATAGACGGGCCAAATAAACCAATCAGATCAACGAAGCATATGACGTACTAACAGAGCAAAGGCGAAGAGGAGCCAATTGATAGATCAAACTCTTGCCGAAACCAGTCGGGAGAAGAGCAAAAGCATCTTTTCCTCTGAGAAAAGCCTCCAGAGCAGTGTTTTGCTCTTCTTTCAGTGAAGAAATACTCTGTAATTCCGATAAAACTTGCTCGATAGCCACGCTAACGCTAGTTTCATCGGCTGAAGCCGCCATGTTCTTTAGACTGAACTGTCGCGCTTCTCGTTGCGTCACACCTCAACCCGCCTCAAAGCCAACGCTGATTGGACGTTCGCTTGGTGAACGGCTCCAAATTTTCTTTAACGGAGAGTCTCCAGACTGATCTGCGAGTGAAACCTTGAAAGCTCGTGAGATCAGGATGGTCTCACGAGGCTAGGTAGGTACTGTACTGGTAGCTACTGCAGGGACTATACCGCCTGCATGGTGTTAGATCTAACCACAGCTGATGATGATACAGAGTGTCATTGTTTTGGTTCTGTTTAAGCTTTATCTTTGCATTTCCATCGGTTTTATTTCCATGTTATTCTAGTTATTTTTGGTTGTATTTGAGTTCTTACATGTTTCTGGTTTGCCCTCTCTTGTGTTTGTCTCCTTTTCTCTAGTTCCCTTCTAGACTCCTCTGTTCACACCTGGTCTTTGTTTCTCTCTCCCTTATATGCGCCTCCTGCTCAGTCACTGTTTGCTGGTTTGTCGTCATTTCTTTGCCAATTTGTTGCGAATATTCCTGGTTTTCTGTATTTTTTTTATTTTGTTGATTATGTTTGTGGATTTTTGCTTCTGTCACCCTTTTGGTTATTAGATCTGCAAGTACTAACTTCAGCTTCGGTCTCTGCATTTGGGTTCAAACCTCTACCCAACCTTGAAACCTGGAACCTAAAGACCAGGCTCATATGGAGACTGATCTAAATGAGCTCCTGTATGATCAATCAAAGAACCAGGTTCAACGGCGCCCTTAGACAGGAACAGCTGATGTTCTGCATTAGACTGCTTTAATGAAATAGAACTGCTAGTTGTCCTTACGGCCTCTGTCTGTGTGTCTTCAGGTAGCACCCACAATGGCTACACCACATCAGTGGATGGCGAGGAGGGAGGAGGTGAGGGGGAGGAAGAGGAGGAGGAGGGAGAGGCGGATGGAGGGGGAGGAACACGAGATGAGGAAGAAGAGAAGGACGCGGAGTGGGATGAGGACCTGGATGGAGGCAATGAAGGAGGTGTGAGGATGACGAGAACAGACACGCTTCACTCCACCACCAGTTCCACCGGAACACAGAGAAGAAGAGGACAACACGCAAAGAAACAGGTGAAAAAACAGCAGAGGGAACCTGCCAGCTTTGGTCAGGAGAAAACATTAGATGATAAAGTGGGGGTGCACCTCATAGGGGGACAGGTGTATTAGAGATGGGGGGGGTGGAAACAGGGGGGAAAAAGTGACCCACTTTGTTAGATATGTAAAGAAATGTGAAGAGTAATATTTAACTTCTTTTACAGACTAAAATAAACACTTAAACCTGAAGTAATTACACTTTAAAAGTGTCTATTTCTTTTATTTCAATATATATTTTGATGCACATGATTTTTATTTGTTCAGCTGTTAAAAATGTGGGAGATTTCCTAAAGTCGGGCGTACACTGTACGATATTTCCAATCGTTGCACGCAGCTACGGCTAACTGTACGAAAAACCGCAGGGTTTAAAAGTTCGCAGCTCACGATGTTTGTTCTCACGCTGTGCGACCCGACGCTCTGATGCGATCTACCTGCTCACACTCTACGTCTAAAAACCACATGGGACTCAGCTCCGCAGTGAGATGGCGCTACTCGGACTCGTCTATCCGGAAACCAAACGAGTAGAAGAGGAACATGAAGCTCACTAGAGTGAAACGCGTTGCCTTGGGGATTTGTGCAATTTTGTGCCTAAAGTTGTAAAAAGAAAACGCGATTTGGACAAAGACAAGCTGAGCAAACGTGGCTACTACGGTCTGTCAGTTTGACAGAAAGAACTCCATTTGACTCATTGCCCCCCCGCCATGATGCTGGGTTTACATCTCAGAGGAAGAAGAAGAATCCTTGTTTGCGCACTGAGCGATTTGCCGGCGACCACCTTACGACGGCCGACTGAATTTCAAACACGTCTGATTTTCAACCTTACCTTAGCTACACTGGAAAAACGACCTAGAAACAAGAACTGATTTCTTAAATTAAGTGTATTTACTAGTGTTGCACCGATACCGATACCAGTATCGGACGGGGCCCCGATACTGCCCTAAAATGGTGATATCGGTATCGGCGAGTACCAGCAAATAGGGCACCATTACCATTTTGAGAGTTTATTCAACTATTGTTAACCACTCCTGGTAGGCAATAAAAAGTTCTACTGGATTCACTTTGTATTAGATTTTTTTCTGCTTCACAAAGGCAGGCAGCAGCTTGACATGAAGCCATGATGGCTATTATTTTGCATTATTATGGTATCGGTATCGGCCGATACTGCACAGCCAGGTATCGGGTATCGGTATCGGTGCCAAAAAATGGCATCAGCACAACACTAGTATTTACCCTTAATTTGAGTAGGTACATGAGATAATTTGCCAATGGAATGAGTATTTTTACTCTTAAAATAAGATAATTAGATAATATACTCTTGAAATAAGACGATGAAGTTGTGTTTTTTTTTTATTTTAAATGTAAATTGTCTTCCTCTGTTGGCAAAATGTCTCTTTTACTTCCTCAATCCAAGAACAAATGCACTTATTTTAAGAAAAAATGACTTATCTAGAATTCGATTTTTTTCCAGTGTAGAAGTGTGTGTCAACCGTATGGAGAGAACATTTAAATATTTGCTGAGAATAAAAGTCTGCTGGCAAACTCTCCAATAACAGAGAAAACAGTCACTAGATTTTTCATTAATCCTTTTTTTTTTTTTCAAAAGATTTCTCGACGGATCTGAAAATGAGTTAAATAGTTACAGAAAGTGATTCAAGAGGCTAAAAGACCCGGTTAATGGTGGAACTGGTTCTGGTTCTACTGTTAATAAAAGTTTAAAATTTAAAATGTTTAGTTTCACTTTGCATCAACACATGAAAACGTTACCGTTAACGTCCGAACCTCAAAGTTATTTAATATTTGTTGCTGTTGGAACTTTTAAAGAGCCGATCAGTGTTTGTTCCAGTAAACCTGCTAACCTCAGCCAGAGGGGCCCTTATCAACTGTTTATTACCCTGACATTGTTGTTGCTATAGCGACTGGTGATTTTGTGATGATGTCCTCTTGTTCCTCAGGTGCAGGGCAGCAACCAGGTCCAGCGAGCCCCACGAGCGTTGTTCTGTCTGAAGCTCAACAACCCAATCCGACAAGCCGCGCTTCATATTGTTGAGTGGAAGTATCCTTTAACCAATCAGCTGCCAGGACAATTCAGTGTGTTACCATAGTTACGCCTTGTAGAAACCTTCCCTAAAGCCCAGCAAATCTGCTTTATGCCAATTTTCTGTTTGGACCATCCAGCTGTTCCAGCAGCGACAGAGACTGAATGAGGTGAACGACTGAATCTCACATGAGTGTGTGAGCTAAGGAAACCCCGGGTCTATGAGGGCGGCCATGATAGATTCATCCTACAGAATGCTGAGCCGCTGGCTGCTATGGCGATTACTCTTTGTTTGGATCAGAACAGAACCACAGTCCAGAATTTAAGCGTCAGACTAACAGTTATTGGTTGGAAGCTAAAAGTCAAAGGAGAAAAGTATTTGACCCCCAACAACCAGAATCTTCTGATCGGGGAAGCTAACAGCTTGGAATAGGTTCTAGATGATAACTCTGCCGGGGAGAGAAAAGAGGCTATCTGAAATTATTAAAGTTTAATCTTTTATTATGTATAATATTTAAATGTAATTCAATTCTGTTTATTTCTATAGCACTAATTTACAACACATGTCATCTCAAGGCAGTTTACAGTTCACCATGGCAACCCTGTATAATGCCCTGGCCAACTCACTGGCCACCCCACTGGCCACCCCACTGGCCACCCCACTGGTCACCTCACTGGCCAGCCCACTGGCCAGTTTAAATTATGGTAGCCTCAGTTTAGCATTTCATCCCATTCTGCACAGCCAGCGACGTAACTTAAAAAATCACACAACAAACCAAGATCTGAGTAGATGTTTACCGAAGTCTTTATGATCTCTACCGACAGGTTTACCACAATAATAGATTAAAACCCTGAAATTATGGCTTCTATTTTCCGAGTGCCACCCCAAGATTTTTAGTGACCCCATCTGGCAGATTCTGCAAAGTGGGAGAATAGAGATAGAATGAAGCAGAATGATGAAAAAGGGGTCCCTATGTCCTCCAGCAGTCTAAGCCTATAGCAGCAGAACTATAGAGATAGCTCAGGATAACCTGAGCCACTCTAACTAGAAGCTTTATCAAAAAGGAAAGTTTTAAGCCTAGCCTTAAAAGTAGACAGGGTGTCTGCCTCACGGACTAAAACTGGTAGTTGGTTCCACAGGAGAGGAGCCTGAGAACTAAAAGATCTGCCTCCCATTCTACTTTTAGAAATTCTAGGAACCACTAGTAAACCTGCAGATTGAGAGCGAAGTGCTCTGTTAGGAACATAAGGAACAATCAGATCTCTGATATCAGATGGAGATTAAAAGTATACATCTAAAAGTTTTTTTTAAAAATATATCCTCTAAACTTTTTTTTTTTTTTGCCTAAAATTTATGCTTAAATTGCGAATTAAAAGGTAATCAGATAAATGGTCACATCACACATATAAATGTTTTAATTTTTTTTTCCTGTACTAAAGTTCATTAGGAAATATTAGCTTACTGCTGCTGAGCCACAGAGGATATATACGGAGGCCTCTGATTGGTTCATAAAACTGCTACAGAGAAGCTAGCATTAGCATCTCTTCAGGTCTTAAATCAGGTCTGCGGCACATGACATGGAAGTGGAAACATTAATGCAATAAACAATAATTATATAATGTTTTTATATCTATTTGTGATGTAGATATGTTTGTTTTTCACATTCATCCTTCTTATACACATAAATCTAACTTTTAGTGGCTGTGGCTTTCCATACCTGACGCAGTTAAGTCTTTTGTATTTTTGGTTTCTGTCTGAGTGGGAAGGTTAGATGTGGACTAAAGGTGGGCGGTACCTGCGGTCTGTTCCTCAGCCGACAGCAGCGGCACCGTTTCTCTTTATCACAGCGATGGGTCGCTGGCCGACTCAGAGCTGAGGGACACATTCAGGATGCGTGTTTCCCTCTCTCTGCCGCTAGCTGCCAAGTATTTCATGCTTTACTGGAGCGACTTAATGAACTCAGAGACAGAAGTTGTGTCAGCGGACAAAGTGTTCACTGCTGGGGGGATAATAGGGAGAAACAATAAATAGAACGGGTTCATCTAGACATCAGTTCTACACTTTTCTTTACAACAAGGCCTATTAAAAAAAGAAAAAAGAAAAGAAATTCTCATCTGGGCCTGGGGTCATAATGTTTGTCTATTCTATTAACATTTCTCTATCTGTATAATGGGTCTGTTTAATGTGTTGTCTTCTCAATTCAGAGAGCCCCCTGCCTGTCTTTGCCTACGGCCCCAAATTTTCTAATTCCACCCCTGGCCATGAAAGGTGGTTGTGAATAATTCACCTGGAATCATCTTCCCAATTCGAGATTAGCATTATGTAGGAAAATCATGCCAGCTAAATGGTGATTGTAAAGCTTTAGACCTGTTTAACTGTGACAGGATGAAAAAGGTGGCTAAGCCATGGCGGTCCAGAGTGTTGTGGAAAGTGATGCAATGGTTCAGACTGAACATCTCAGAACGTTAAGCTAAACATCAGATGTTTGTTGTTCTGTGGTTTTGTTCATTTGGACCTTCCTGAACCCATCCCTCAGACCGTTCGACATCTTCATCCTGCTAGCCATCTTTGCTAACTGCGTGGCTCTGGGAGTCTCCAAACCATTTCCTGAAGATGACTCCAACTCCACCAACCATGACCTGGTGAGTTCCACCACAGCCCTGCTTCAAGTCTGATGCTTTTATTGTGTAGGGCTGACCTCCAGAATAAAGCTCCAGGCTGTTCTCGGCTGTGGAGGCAGCAGTCATGGACAAACGCTGGAGCAGCAGATGATTGACAGATCTGTGATCGGTTCTGAGGACTTTCTGCTCTGTTGCTTCATCTCGCTCTCTCTGTCCTCTGTGTCGGTGTCTCTCCACCTTCAGCTGGACTGAGCTTGTTGTTCATGCAGTCACTTCCTGTTGGAATGATGTCTGCCCCTCGCTCCGAGCTGCAGATTCCGGTTTGTTCTGAGCTGAGTTCAGGAGAACTGAGTGATATTCATTAGTGCTTCCACCAACCGAGCAGAAGGAATTCTAACATTTCACTCAGTCCTCATCCATGTTCTCCTTCTACCCTGATTTTCAGGCCTGCCTTTTGTTTCTGGGGATTTAGTTCTGCTTTGCAGTTTTAGTGGATGTTGTTCTGTGTTTCAGGAACAAGTGGAGTACGTCTTCCTCATCATCTTCACCATAGAGACCTTCCTGAAGATCCTGGCCTACGGTTTGGTGATGCACCCCAGCTCATACATCCGTAACGGCTGGAACCTTCTGGACTTTGTCATCGTCATTGTCGGGTAGGAACACAGAGGATCCAAAGGTCTCAGATATCCTCTCAGCCCAGAGGTTCTTCTGCCTGGTTCTGTTTCTGAATCCAAGCACCTGAACGGTCTTAACCAGAACCTTTAGTGCATTCTGTGTGTCAAATTAACTCAATGTCATTTATTTATACAGTAGCAGCCATTGCAAATGGCTCATCCCAGTCAAAATACAGCCGAATTGCAGCTAAATCCCCTCCAAATTCCAGCCACTGGCCTTCTCTTGGCCATGCCTATTTTTTCACTCTGACTTCACCCCTTCACTTAATTACATGGTCTGACCAGGAGATGGCGCTTCTCTTTAGATTTTAATGTCAACAAATCGTGACAGAATATTTTAGATGTTTAAAAAGTAACTGTAGGGGGCCAGTCAAGGACCAGCCAAGGACCAACCAATGACCAACCAAGGACCAACCAAGGACCAGCCAAGGACCAGCGAAGGACCAACCAAGGACCAACCAAGGACCAGCGAATGACCAACCAAGGACCAGCCAAGGACCAACCAAGGACCAACCAATGACCAACCAAGGACCAACCAAGGACCAGCCAATGACCAACCAAGGACCAACCAAGGACCAGCGAAGGACCAACCAAGGACCAGCCAAGGACCAACCAAGGACCAACCAAGGACCAGCGAAGGACCAACCAATGACCAACCAAGGACCAACCAAGGACCAACCAATGACCAACCAAGGACCAGCCAAGGACCAGCCAATGACCAACCAAGGACCAACCAAGGACCAACCAAGGACCAGCCAAGGACCAGCGAAGGACCAACCAAGGACCAACCAAGGACCAGCGAAGGACCAACCAAGGACCAGCGAAGGACCAACCAAGGACCAACCAAGGACCAACCAAGGACTAGCCAAGGACCAGCGAAGGACCAACCAAGGCCCAGCCAAGGACCAGCGAAGGACCAACCAAGGACCAGCCAAGGACCAACCAAGGATCAGCCAATGACTAGCCAAGGACTAGCCAAGGACCAGCTAAGGATCAGCCAAGGACCAGCCAAGGACTAGCCAAGGATCAGCCAAGGATCAGCCAAGGACCAGCCAAGGACTAGCCAAGGATCAGCCAAGGATCAGCCAAGGACCAGCCAAGGACTAGCCAAGGATCAGCCAAGGATCAGCCAAGGATCAGCCAAGGATCAGCCAAGGAGCAGCCTAAATAAGTGGGGGAATTTTGAATTGTTACTACTGTACCTCTGAGGTGGAGGAACAATTATATTATGGTCCTTTGTATTTTTCTGAATGTTCAGCCCCCTTTCCGCTGATACCCCTCAATATAATTGTACTTGCTCTGTCTCTGACAGCAGAGAATGTGTAGAGAACATCAGAGAACATCCAGCAGACAGGTCATGGAGAATGTTCTGGTTGAAGTTAAAGCAGGGTTTGTTTCTGCAGCCATCTCCCAGAATCTGAACATCTCTCAGAGCTCTGCTCAGTATATCAGCTGAACATGCAGAGAAGATGGACCAACTGCAGACCTACCACTCCATGGACGTCCACCTAGACTGACAGGAGGAGAGTGTTAACCTGAATAGCAGGGGAACCATGGTGACTCTGGAGGAGTTTACATCTGTCAGCAGAAACACTGTAGGTCATGAACTTCATACATCCGGTATGTATGGAGCAACACAAAAGGAAGTTGCTGTTGAAGAGAGGTCATAAGACAAGTTTGTGGTTTGCAGAAGGTCAGATGAAGGCCTGCTGTTTAGAGGAGACCAAAATGTAAACATTTGAAAAAACACACAAAAACCCCACATCTGTCTTCCTTTAAAGGAATGGTAGTGGAGGAGGCATGCTGTTGGGATTTTTCTTCGGTTTGGAAGCCGGTCAGAGCTGATGAGAAGATGCATGTATGTAGGTTCCCCTTCCAGCGGAAGACCCACCCTGAACATCCAGTGGATGGGTTGGCCAAGCCAAAGCCCTGGTCTACATCCAACTGAGGTTCTTTGTATTTCCACAGAAGTTCTCCATCCAATCTGAATGAGCTTAAGCTGTTTTGTTTAGAAGAAACCATCAGTCTAGAGACAAATGCCAGAAGACCTGCAGATGGACCTGCAAACAAAGGTGGTTCTGAAGAGCTCTGGATTAGGGGGTCTAGATCTAAATGTACACCTCACTGTCACAATTTCAACAAATCTGAAAACCTTCAATCATTTCTCTGGTCTTGGTACTTCGGCACCAGAGTTGTCAGTAACATAGCACAAATACTTTATCTCACTGAAGTAGAAATGTTGGCTACCTAAACTTTACTGGATTATTTCATAGACAACTTTTTACTTCTACTTCTTACATTTTTTGCAATTGTCTCTACTTTCTAACTCCTTAGGGCCTTGCCGATTTATCCAGCGTATGCCTGACGTCCCAGAGTCTCCTAAAACGCTGTCATACGTTGAACTTTCTATGTATTTTTAAAATTTTGGGCGTATACATAGAGTATTAATAACGAGTCCAGAACTTATGTCCAATGACAGCCTAACTTATGCATAATGCACGGCAGCGTAATGCTCATGGCATTACAAAGCATCAGTTAAAGCTGCTCCTCTCAGAACATCCCAATTTACAGTATAGGGCAGTGCAGTAAAGTTGAAAGCATCTCTCCTTAACTTCTTTCCTGCATTACTTTTACTTTTATACTTTAAGTAGCTCTAAAAATTGTAATTGTAACTTATACTGGAGTAAAAAGTTGAAGTTGATCCTCTAACTTCTACAAAAGTGTTTTTAAACTGTAGGATTTATACTTCTACTGCAGTAACAAACATTAATACTTTTGACACCTCAGCACCACTCTCAGTCGGCCGGAGAAGTTTTTGGTTTAATGAATCAAACCTCAAAGAGGAGTCAGGGTGCGAATTGGTTTGAAAGGCTTTAAATCCATTGGAGCGTGAGCGTGACTCAGAGGTCGGACCCGGGGATGCTGGTTCTTCCTGCTGTATTGACTTTAAATCCTGCAGATCTCGACCGTCTTCCTTTGTGCTGGTTGGTGTCCTCGCTGCAGGACAGGAGACATGACTGGATATCCTCAGAGCAATGATGACGCTAATGGTGATAAAGCCTGTTGTCATGGTAACACTGCCTGAGGATAGTTCGTTCCACTTTGCTGCATCCGACAGAGATGGATCTTCAAAACACATTCAAAGATATTGGTGTTTATCAGGACAGACCTACTGAGAATAAACAATGAAGATTTGGACATTTGACCTTGTGAAGGTCACTGCTAGATTAATGAAAGAATTACCTTTTCTGAAGGTTGATTTTTCTGAGGATTTGACTCTAGTTTAATGAAAGTATGACTTTCTAAATTTGACTTCATTAAAGTTTCGACTTCATTCATGATTTGTCTTTTTTGAAGATTGACTTTTCTGAGGGTTTGACTTCATTGAAACAGTGACGGTTGATGGTTTAAATATATGAGAATTTTCCTTTAAATTATGTTGTTAAGGTTAATTGGAGGTTTTATGGGCCTAAATGCAGAGTTGAGGAGGCAGAGGTCAGTTTTTAAGATTTAATCAGGGGCAAAAACTCCAAAAGTACAAAATGGTGAAAACCAAACAAAATTAGAAAACCTTTGGGAAAACATACATGGGGAGCAAAGAGACGACGGAGCAACAAAGCAAGAACAAGGAACCAGCAAACAGTGATGTTATGAGATGAGCCGAGGCTTCGAGGCGTGTGTCGAGTAATGGAGGGCAGCGTTTACCCGAAGCACGTGTCGAGGCATGATTCATTTAGGGGAGGGGCCAAAATTGACTACGTCCGAAGCCTCGCTACCGTGATGCCATGCGATCGCTTCAGGAGTGCTTCAGACCGCTCGAGAACTTCGGCAGGCATTTAGACAGCCTCAGTGTTCAGTCGGGATGTGGGAGTTTGTGGGAGAGTTGCTGTCAGTTGGATAGAGTTTGGATAGATTCTAGGAATAGAATAGGCTGAATAGGTGAGGTCTTCTGTTCCGAGGTAAAGGGGTTGGGGCTGCGATGATAGCGGGAAGGAATCAACTCTATTGCTGCACTGTAGGTTTTTCCACCCCCTCTGTTTAAGGTTGGTTTTTGTTTCCTTCCTTCACGGACCTCTCAAACCACCTATCTTCTTTGTCAAAAATATTAACATTCTGGTCCTCAAAAGAATGGGGCTTTGCAGGCTAACAAAGATGTATATATATATTTAATGTATTTTTATTTTGAATGTAATGTAACATGCTTCTTTTATGTATTTATTTTGCTTATAATGGAATTGCTATAGCAGTGTTTTTATGTGTGAATGTGGTGGGACACTAAACCCCATTTCCACTACCTTTTTAAAATTGTGCCTAAATTGGTCAGAGCATGTTAAGAGAGATAACTGTAGAGTGTAAATGACACGCAAACTGAACCGGACCGCGGCAGACACAACTGAACCACGCTCCTCTTTACAGTCAGCCTCCGTAATCAGGAAATTTCAGACATTCATAAGAATCCCAGCTTCCCTACTATGCCACACGATTTCCAGTGATGATTCCGCTTAGCAGTGTGATGAACATCATCATATGTCATTGTTTCCTACCTCTGTAAGCCCTGATTGGACTATCAATTGTAGTATCCACTTCCCAAAAGCCGACTCTGTCTGGTAAAGGCTGACTTCTCTGCCTGACTCTTCACAAAAAACGAAATATCACAACTATAACCAAACATAACTTCCTAAATATAAGGGCACCTAATATTAAGGGCACGGCTTGATTTGTTGGATTCACTCCCTCAAACATAGAGAGTAGTAGTACCATCACTAGAAGGCAAGGAACCGTGCTAGTGTGATGCAAAATGGTCATAAGGGACCGAGCTCAGCACGGATCGGCTTTCAGAGGGTAGGGTAAATGGGGCAAAGGTTTGGACTATGTAGCAGCCAGAGTCTGTACCCAGGAAAAATTTCCTGTGGGACAATAAAATTCATCATCCTTATACTTCTTTGTTTTTCGATTTTTTTTTGCAGGTTATTTAGCGTTGTCCTGGAGACTATGACTCATAAATCAAGCGGTGAGCAAGCGCCCACCCATCACATGCCAGGGAAACCTGGAGGTCTGGACGTCAAAGCTCTGAGAGCTTTCAGGGTGCTGCGCCCTCTCCGACTGGTTTCTGGAGTCCCCAGTAAGTTTTCTGGCTGGGAATTGAATACTGTGTGTCCTACATGAGATCAGCTCTTTGTGTCCATCAGGTCTGCAGATCGTCTTGAACTCCATCATGAAAGCCATGGTTCCTCTGCTCCACATCGCTCTGCTGGTTCTTTTTGTCATCATCATCTATGCCATCATTGGTTTGGAGCTCTTCATCGGACGTATGCATAGGACCTGTTATTACATCGGGACAGGTACCAGACACAGTGTGACGAGTCTGTTCACGTCTTTACACTCCAGAGGTATCATGAAAAGCTTCAATCACAAAGATATTTGGTGCAATAATTTTAAACCCCAAAATGGTAGAATTCTAAGATGGCAAAGATCACATCAATACCCATTTGGGAAATCAAACAATCGTCTTATAACCTGATGATGAAGCATTCAGAGTTAGCCTCTCTCTATTAGGCGTTTGGCATGTTTGGTTTTAATAGCTTTATGGAACCGGGACGTTTAAATAGCCAGTACTGTGAAACCGTATAAGGGCCTCAAACATTGTGGAAATGTTATTTCATAAGAAAGTCAGGGTACGCTATGTGTAAAGACTCAGAAGACTGGGCCCAGAATTCAGGCAGACAGACTAAAGTGATTAATAAAAAGCATTTATTAACTGCCCTGGGATCTGTGGCTCGTTAGCCAGGACTAGATTGCTGGAATCTCTGTAAAAGGGAGAAACACAGGTTAGTGACCACGAAACTTGACGGGGAACGATAGTGAGCATGGGAGTCAATGACCTGGTTATGAAGTTCAGTCTGAGACCAGAGGGAGGAGTGGAATCCAGCTGGTTGATTTTCCACCGCATGTGGCGGAAGCCTCCCACAAAGTTCCAGGAGTTGAAGCCAAAGGAGCTGCAGAGCAGACTGACGAGCAGAAGCAAGCTCATGACGAAGAGCAGTATTATCCGGAAGGAGAATCCAAGATGGTGTCGATGAATAAGCAGAAGTCCAGGCCAGAAGATCAGAGATCAAAAGAGACATATTCAAGTTCGTTAGCAGGCAGAATCCAATGGAAGTCCGTAGACAGGTCAGGCAAACAGATAAGAACAGGGGCAGGCAAACTCAGAAGTCTAAGAGCAGAAACTAATCAGGATTAGGCAATCAGACTAAACACACTGGGGTATGCTAAAGAACTCTCACATAGTTTAAAAAGGAACTGGAACAAACTTCTTTATGGTTTGTTTTGTCTTCTCATGGCATTGGCTGCTTGGGTCTTGGTCTTCTCAGATTTTATTTTGTGAGGTATTGTTTCTTTAGAAAGTTGTCACTTCATGGTCGTGGCTTCCCATAGTGTGTTTGTAGGCTTTTGTCTTCTTATTGTATAGTCTCCTTGGGCTTTTGTTTCCTCTGTTATCTATTCGGGATGTTGTCTCTTAAGACTATTTTCTCCTTATGATACTTACTTCTAAGTGTCTCCTTACGGTGTATTTCCTCAAAGTTTTGTCTCAGGTCAGTAGGGATTCACAAGAGTCAGCAAACAGAACTTCTTCTCGGTATTTGGGGGCAAGATTTGACAGTTTCTGAAGATGCCAGTTGACATGTGACATCACTGGTGAACCTCAGAAGATTCCAGAATCCTTCCAGGCTGATTTGGAGGAATCCTCCTTTGACAGTTATTCATTGGTCCAAGGGAATGCACAGGGTCAGATCCATGGGAGCACGGGCAGGCAGAAGGTCAAAGCTTGTGACCCGAGATCTATACAGGGAAGAATCTGAGACCAAGGTCAGGGCACAGAAAACAGGTCCAAAAGGTCCGAAAAACACACAATGATATGTTCAGGCAGGATCAGAGAATCAGGAGACAGAATCGGGTCAGAATTAGGCAGGCAGACAGGTTTACAGGAATGCTGGATAAAACTTGCAGATGGCTCTTAATAATCTGGCACTAGTGACTGGTCTGAGAGCTGGCTATATAGTCAGGTAAACGAGTGGATCTGATAGAGGATGATTAGAAATGGGGAGGAATTCTCTGGTGAGTTGAGTTGCCAGCTGTAGTGCCAGGTATCATGACAGGTATCGGCACTAGGGTTTTGTCTCACCATGGTATTCTTTCTCTAGGGTGTTGTGTCCTCATCATCTTGTCTCTTCATGGAATTGTGTCTTTAGGGTTTTGTCTCCTAACAGTATTGTAATATCGTCTCCTAAGCGTTAAGACCCCCATAGGGTGTAATTTTCTCTGGTTTTGTGCCCTAATGATATTTTCTCTATCTCTTCATGGTATGTCTCTTTGAGGCAGGTATGGGCAATTCCTGTTCCTGTCCTTCAGGGCCGTTATCCTGCAACTTTTAGATGTGCCTTTGGTTCGACACACCTGAATCAAGTAATTAGATGATTGAGAGGGCTGTGGAGGAACTAACTGCACGCTGAGGAGGTAACTCAGCCATTTGATTAAGGTGTTTTGGAACAAGGATGGATCTTAAAGTTGCAGGATACCAGCCCTCAGGATATGGAATCGCCCACCCCTGCTTTAAGGTGTTGTCTCCTCGTGGTGTTGTATCCTCATGGTGTCTTTTCTTCAGCGTAGTGTCTGGTATCATATACTTAAGATATTGTCTCATTACAGTGTAGTCTCACAGTGTGTTTTCTCCTTAGGGTGTAATCTTCTCAGGGTGTCCTTTCATGATGTTGTGTCCTCATAGAGTCATCTTCTAAAATATTTACACATCCTTTCAGATACAAACGGAAAAAAGAATGTACATACACCTAAACACCTGTGGTCGGAAAGTTTAGATTTCTTTCGTCTCATATATTTAGTTATTATTTAGCTATTCATCCAGTGAAATATGTTTGTACTCATTTTGTTTCACCTGCAAGGCTAAGTGAAGGGGTGGATTTAGACAAAACATACTTATTCCCTCGACAAGCCAAATTGTTTCTCAAGGTTTGTTAAAGTGTCTGTAATTTGTTTTGACTCTGACACAACCTTCACAGTTTTCTTCATCAACATAAGTAAGGGAAAATAAACTCTGTATGTCAGAACAGGGCTGATTACCGAGCAGTAACGGCCGTATGATGAACTGTTCTCTCTTTGCAACGATATGAAAATCAAGTGCAGACTGAGTGAAATCCATTTATTTTACTAGGGTGAATAGTTGAATACTTTTTTCCCCACTACAACACCCCTGATGACAATCAAACAGATGATCATCACATTCCATAGACTGCTCTGGTAAAAGCTGCTCTTTATGTAAATATTATCTGCTACATTTTCTTCAACATATTAATTTAGCAGGTATCTGCAAATGTTTCTAGCTTTGTTTTTTTTGAAATATTCTTGATTTTTATCCCTTCGTTTTCCAGATAATTTTGTAGAGGATGAGCCAGTGCCGTGTGCGTTTGCTGGACACGGCCGTCAGTGCAACGTGAACGGTTCTGAATGTCGGGGGAAGTGGGACGGCCCCAACGGTGGAATCACCAACTTTGATAACTTCTTCTTTGCAATGCTGACAGTATTCCAGTGCATCACGATGGAGGGATGGACCGACGTCCTATACTGGGTAGAAACTCAACCCCCTTCAGTTCTCCTGTCCTCAGTTAGGTCTGAGTTTTAATAATCACTCTTTATGTCCTGGTCTCTCTCCTCAGATGAACGATGCCATCGGCTTCGAGCTGCCATGGGTTTATTTTGTCAGTCTTGTCATTTTTGGCTCCTTTTTTGTTCTGAACCTGGTTCTGGGAGTCCTCAGTGGGTGAGTTTGTCTCTCTGGTATGAAAACCATGAGAGTCTGATGGTGAAACTGGATTAGAACTCATCTTCGACTGAATGTTATTTCAGAGAGTTCAGTAAAGAGAGAGAGAAGGCGAAGGCTCGGGGAGATTTCCAGAAGCTCCGGGAAAAGCAGCAGATGGAGGAAGATCTTTGTGGATACATGGACTGGATCACTCAGGCTGAGGACATGGATGAACTGGATGAGGACGGAAACTCAAGTAAGTCAGACTCATCATAGCTGATTGGCGTTTTCGGCAGGTTTCGTCCTTCAGCTCAGCAGTATAACATCCCGCAGCAGTGAAGAAGTTCTGATGTAAATCATAGAGGGTGATAATCCAGACTGGGCAGAATCCGTGGCTCAGCTCTGCACTAGATAACAGCTCAGATTAACGACTTTCACTGGATCAAATGGGAGGGCTGTTCTGCAAATGAAATCCTGCTGCAGAATCAGGTCATGTGAGAGAGGTTCACTCTCAGTCACATGCAGAGAGTGACTGAACGGACCATCGGCCAGCTCACACAGAGCACCCAGCTCACACAGAGCACCCAGATCACACAGAGCACCCAGATCACCAGAGCACCCAGCTCATACAGAGCACCCAGCTCACACAGAGCACCCAGATCACCAGAGCACCCAGATCACACAGAGCACCCAGCTCACACAGAGCACCCAGATCACCAGAGCACCCTGATCACACAGAGCACCCAGATCACACAGAGCACCCAGCTCACACAGAGCACCCAGATCACACAGAGCACCCAGATCACCAGAGCACCCAGCTCATACAGAGCACCCAGCTCACACAGAGCACCCAGCTCACACAGAGCACCCAGATCACCAGAGCACCCAGCTCACACAGAGCACCCAGATCACACAGAGCACCCAGCTCACACAGAGCACCCAGCTCACACAGAGCACCCAGATCACCAGAGCACCCAGATCACACAGAGCACCCAGCTCACACAGAGCACCCAGCTCATACAGAGCACCCTGATCACCAGAGCACCCAGCTCACACAGAGCACCCAGATCACACAGAGCACCCAGATCACCAGAGCACCCAGATCACACAGAGCACCCAGATCACCAGAGCACCCAGCTCACACAGAGCACCCAGATCACACAGAGCACCCAGATCACCAGAGCACCCAGATCACACAGAGCACCCAGATCACAAAGAGCACCCAGATCACACAGAGCACCCAGATCACACAGAGCACCCAGATCACACAGAGCACCCAGCTCACACAGAGCACCCAGATCACCAGAGCACCCAGATCACACAGAGCACCCAGCTCATACAGAGCACCCAGCTCACACAGAGCACCCAGCTCACACAGAGCACCCAGATCACCAGAGCACCCAGATCATACAGAGCACCCAGCTCACACAGAGCACCCAGCTCACACAGAGCACCCAGATCACCAGAGCACCCAGATCACACAGAGCACCCAGCTCACACAGAGCACCCAGATCACCAGAGCACCCAGATCACACAGAGCACCCTGATCACCAGAGCACCTAGATCACACAGAGCACCCAGCTCACACAGAGCACCCAGATCACCAGAGCACCTAGATCACACAGAGCACCCAGATCACCAGAGCACCCAGATCACACAGAGCACCCAGATCACACAGACCACCCAGATCACACAGACCACCCAGATCACACAGAGCACCCAGATCACACAGAGCACCCAGATCACCAGAGCACCCAGATCACACAGAGCACCCAGCTCATACAGAGCACCCAGATCACACAGAGCACCCAGATCACCAGACCACCCAGATCACACAGAGCACCCAGATCACCAGAGCACCCAGATCACACAGAGCACCCAGATCACACAGACCACCCAGATCACACAGAGCACCCAGCTCATACAGAGCACCCAGATCACCAGAGCACCCAGATCACACAGAGCACCCAGATCACCAGAGCACCTAGATCACACAGAGCACCCAGCTCACACAGAGCACCCAGATCACCAGAGCACCCAGATCACACAGAGCACCCAGATCACCAGAGCACCTAGATCACACAGAGCACCCAGATCACCAGAGCACCTAGATCACACAGAGCACCCAGATCACCAGAGCACCCAGATCACACAGAGCACCCAGATCACACAGAGCACCCAGCTCATACAGAGCACCCAGATCACCAGAGCACCCAGATCACACAGAGCACCCAGATCACACAGAGCACCCAGATCACACAGAGCACCCAGCTCATACAGAGCACCCAGATCACCAGAGCACCCAGATCACACAGAGCACCCAGATCACACAGAGCACCCAGATCACACAGAGCACCCAGCTCATACAGAGCACCCCGATCATACAGAGCACCCTGATCATACAGAGCACCCAGCTCACCAGAGCACCCAGATCACACAGAGCACCCAGCTCATACAGAGCACCCCGATCATACAGAGCACCCTGATCATACAGAGCACCCAGCTCATACAGAGCACCCAGATCACACAGAGCACCCAGCTCATACAGAGCACCCCGATCATACAGAGCACCCTGATCATACAGAGCACCCAGATCACCAGAGCACCCAGATCACACAGAGCACCCAGATCACACAGAGCACCCAGCTCATACAGAGCACCCAGATCACCAGAGCACCCAGATCACACAGAGCACCCAGATCACACAGAGCACCCAGATCACACAGAGCACCCAGATCACACAGAGCACCCCGATCATACAGAGCACCCTGATCATACAGAGCACCCAGCTCATACAGAGCACCCAGATCACCAGAGCACCCAGATCACACAGAGCACCCAGATCACACAGAGCACCCAGCTCATACAGAGCACCCAGATCACCAGAGCACCCAGATCACACAGAGCACCCAGATCACACAGAGCACCCTGATCATACAGAGCACCCTGATCATACAGAGCACCCAGATCACCAGAGCACCCAGATCACACTGAGCACCCAGATCACACAGAGCACCCAGATCACCAGAGCACCCTGATCACACAGACCACCCAGCTCACACAGAGCACCAAGATCACACAGAGCACCCAGATCACCAGAGCACCCAGATCACACAGAGCACCCAGCTCATACAGAGCACCCAGCTCACACAGAGCACCCAGCTCATACAGAGAACCCAGATCACCAGAGCACCCAGATCACACAGACCACCCAGATCACACAGAGCACCCAGCTCACCAGAGCACCCAGATCACACAGAGCACCCAGATCACACAGAGCACCCAGATCACACAGAGCACCCAGATCACCAGAGCACCCAGATCACACAGAGCACCCAGATCACACAGAGCACCCAGCTCATACAGAGCACCCCGATCATACAGAGCACCCTGATCATACAGAGCACCCAGCTCATACAGAGCACCCAGATCACCAGAGCACCCAGATCACCAGAGCACCCAGATCACACAGAGCACCCAGATCACACAGAGCACCCAGCTCATACAGAGCCCCCAGATCACCAGAGCACCCAGATCACACAGAGCACCCAGATCACACAGAACACCCAGATCACACAGAGCACCCAGCTCATACAGAGCACCCTGATCATACAGAGCACCCTGATCATACAGAGCACCCAGATCACCAGAGCACCCAGATCACACTGAGCACCCAGATCACACAGAGCACCCAGATCACCAGAGCACCCTGATCACACAGACCACCCAGCTCACACAGAGCACCAAGATCACACAGAGCACCCAGATCACCAGAGCACCCAGATCACACAGACCACCCAGATCACACAGACCACCCAGCTCACACAGAGCACCCAGATCACACAGAGCACCCAGATCACCAGAGCACCCAGATCACACAGAGCACCCAGCTCACACAGAGCACCCAGATCACACAGAGCACCCAGATCATACAGACCACCCAGATCACACAGACCACCCAGATCACCAGAGCACCCAGATCACCAGAGCACCCAGATCACCAGAGCACCCAGCTCACACAGACCACCCAGATCACCAGAGCACCCAGATCACCAGAGCACCCAGATCACACAGACCACCCAGATCACCAGAGCACCCAGATCACCAGAGCACCCAGATCACACAGAGCACCCAGCTCACACAGAGCACCCAGCTCACACAGAGCACCCAGCTCACACAGACCACCCAGATCACCAGAGCACCCAGATCACACAGACCACCCAGATCACCAGAGCACCCAGATCACCAGAGCACCCAGATCACACAGAGCACCCAGCTCACACAGAGCACCCAGCTCACACAGACCACCCAGATCACCAGAGCACCCAGATCACACAGAGCACCCAGCTCATACAGAGCACCCAGATCACCAGAGCACCCAGATCACCAGAGCACCCAGATCACCAGAGCACCCAGAACACACAGAGCACCCAGATCACCAGAGCACCCAGATCACCAGAGCACCCAGATCACCAGAGCACCCAGATCACACAGAGCACCCAGCTCATACAGAGCACCCAGATCACCAGAGCACCCAGATCACACAGAGCACCCAGATCACACAGAGCACCCAGATCACACAGAGCACCCAGATCACACAGAGCACCCAGATCACACAGAGCACCCTGATCATACAGAGCACCCTGATCATACAGAGCACCCAGATCACCAGAGCACCCAGATCACACTGAGCACCCAGATCACACAGAGCACCCAGATCACACAGAGCACCCAGATCACACAGACCACCCAGCTCACACAGAGCACCAAGATCACACAGAGCACCCAGATCACCAGAGCACCCAGATCACACAGACCACCCAGATCACACAGACCACCCAGCTCACACAGAGCACCCAGATCACACAGAGCACCCAGATCACCAGAGCACCCAGATCACACAGAGCACCCAGCTCACACAGAGCACCCAGATCACACAGAGCACCCAGATCATACAGACCACCCAGATCACACAGACCACCCAGATCACCAGAGCACCCAGATCACCAGAGCACCCAGATCACCAGAGCACCCAGCTCACACAGACCACCCAGATCACCAGAGCACCCAGATCACCAGAGCACCCAGATCACACAGACCACCCAGATCACCAGAGCACCCAGATCACCAGAGCACCCAGATCACACAGAGCACCCAGCTCACACAGAGCACCCAGCTCACACAGAGCACCCAGCTCACACAGACCACCCAGATCACCAGAGCACCCAGATCACACAGACCACCCAGATCACCAGA